CCACGTCCCATTCCCTGCCCCCCGAGCCGGCCCACCCAGCCCTTGGGGGTTACTTTACACCCCGAAAATAAACACAAAGACACCCCCGCTACCCCATGCTGCCCCCCAGCCCCACCACTCACCAGGGGGCCCGGCCGGCCGGTCAAGCCCATGGGGCCCGGGGGTCCCTTCATGGAGAGCTGGAAGAGAAGGAGCCGGGTGAGGCTGGGGCAGAGACGGGGCTCGGGGGCGAGTGAGGGGGCCTGGGTGCGGGTCCCGGCGCGGGTGCAAGGCCCGGCCTTACCTTGGCCTGCTGCAGGACGGCCTGTGCCTGCGCCTCCTGGAAGGACACGGTGGGGCCCTTGGGCGAGTCGCCGCCGAACTGGAACTGGAACTGGGGGGGGAACGGGGCAGCGCCCGGATCAGCGACAGGGCAGGGAGCGGCTGGGCCCCCCCTGCCGGGGCACCAGCCCCCTGACTCCCCCCCACAGAGCCAGGAACAGCCCTGCCCCCCCCCGCCTGCACACCAGCCCCCTGCCCCCCCAAAGAGAGCGGGGAATGGCCGCTCCCCCCCACCTGGGCACCAGCCCCCCCAGCCCTACCCAGAGAGTAGGGACCAGACTGCCCCCCTTCATGGACACCAGCCCCCCAACCAGTCTCAGCACCCCACAGCCCCCCCGGCCCATCCTGCCCCGCACCCCCCCAACCTACCGGCAGCATGATCATGGTCCCCGGAGGCCCCCGTCCCCCGTCGGCTCCCGGCAGCCCCGGCCGCCCCGCAGGGCCCTGTGGGGAAGAAGAGGAGCCCCCCGTCACTCAGCGGGCGGCGCAGGCAGGGACTCGCAGCCCCCGCGGCGGGGAGCATGCCGGCCATTCCTGAGCCCCCCCCGCCCCCCCGGCTCTGCAGCCTCTGACAGGGCCCCCTCCCCCAGCTGCTTACCTGCTCGCCAGGGTCCCCCGGCAGCCCCGCCGGCCCCACCGGTCCTGGGGGGCCCATCTCGCCCTACGAGACACACAGAGGAACCTCAGTTGCTGCAGAGACCCAGCGAGCCTCCCCGCTCCCGCCAGCCCCTGTTCCCCCCGGTTCCCCCCCCCCCCAGCGCCCGGTCTCCCCGGTTCCCGCCCCCGCCAGCCCCTGGTCCCCCCAGTTCCCGCTCCCCCCAGCGCCTGGTCCCCCCGGTTCCCGCTCCCCCCAGCGCCTGGTCCTTACCGCTGGGCCCGGGGCTCCCGGCGGCCCGTCGAATCGCCGGCCCTAGGAGGAGAACCACCAGTTAGGGCAGCACGTCCCGAACCACGACGGGATCCGGCCCCTCACGCAGCCCCAGCGCCCAGCAGGATCGAACCCACGGTCCCCGGAGCTGGGCAAGCCCCCAGTCCCCTGCTGCCCCACCCAGCTCCCCAGGGCCGGTAAGCTGGACGGGACCCATGGGGGGCCTCACGGAATGGGCTGAGCCCCCCACAGCCTGGTTCCCTTTGGCCAGGGCCCCCTGCACCTCCCGACCTAGCCAGGGGCCAGTCCCACCCCCCGGCCCGGCGGGCTTGGCTGGTTCCCCCAGGACGACGCTGCCCCGGGCCGCAGCACCACTGGCCGCGCTGGTACTCACGGGATCGATGGCGCCCGGCTCCCCCTTCTCCCCCTTCTGGCCGGCTCCCTGCAAGGGACGCATAGGGCAGGGTGACACCGGCGGCAAACAGCCCCAGCCCCCCACGCCCGGCCACTGCAACCCCCCCCCCGACCGGTCTCCCAAGCCTGCACCACAGGCCAGGCCTGCCCTCGCCACCCCCCTGCCCCTGCCCGCAGGCCTGGCTCTGGGGCTAGCGACTGATTACGAGAGGCCCCAAGGAGAAGCCCAGATGGCCGGTGCCCCGTCCCCCGATTCCCGCCTGCTCCCCGGCACCCCGTCTCCACCAGTGCCCTGTGCCCACCGGCGCCCCATCCCCCCGGTGCCCTGTCCCCGCGGCGTCCGTCCCCCCATTCCCGCCCACTCCCCGTCTCCACCAGTGCCCTGTCCCCCCCAGTGCCCGTCCCCCCCATTCCCTCCCGCGCCCCATCCCGCTCGTACCCGGGTGGCCTGGCCCAGGGTTCCCCGTCGCTCGGCAGGGCCATAGCGCTCCAGGCTGGCGTCATGGCCCGGGGGCTCCCCGTCCTCGTACTCCTCATACTCCCTCAGGGCGTAGTCGGGGGGTTCGGTGCTGTTGGCCCTGGGGTCCCCGTCTGCCCAGATCCCGTGCTCCTCTCCCAGGTCCTGCAGACGAGGGCGGGAGCCGGGGTCACTGGCGTTTGCAGGGGGTGACAGCTGTGTGCCCCACTGCATCCCTCCAGTCCCCTCCCCCGGCTGCCGTACCTCGTAGGCCTCGGGCAGGTTCAGGCTGATGGTCACAGTGCTGGCAGGGGCGGTCCCGGGCAGCGGGGTGACGTGCTCCTCCCCAGACGGGGTCGCCTCCAGTGCAGGAGCTGCTTGGGTCGGGGCCTCCTCAATGGGAGTGGAGAGAAAACGGGGCATTAGGGGAGAAAGGTCAGTGCCCAGGACGGCCCCACCCTGGGCATGGCACGCCGGGGGGGAGGGCTGGCAGGGTGGCGGCAAGGGAGGCTGGCTGGGGGGCAGTTGGGGGGCAGCCAAGGGGGTAGCTGGAAGGCAGTGGGCTGGGGGGCAGTGAGGGGGGCAGCGAGGGGGGTGGCTGGGGGGCAGGGGCACGTCCTGCTGTGGGAAGCGTTGTACCCACCCAGGTGCCATGGGGCCCTGTCCCAGCTCCCCCCAGCACTGAGCCCTGCACTGACCCGGGCGCTGGCAGCGAGTGCCAGGCGCAGGATCCAACCGGAGGGTTGTCACGGATTCCCAGGTCCTGCCCACTCTTGGGCCCGGGGGGGCCGGGGGGGGGGGGGGGTGCCCCTTTCAGTGTGATAGCCCTTCTCAGGGGTCCCCTCTCTCCCGGGGTCAGGCCCCTCGACCTCCTGGAGCCGCACCTCTCTGAGCCTTAGCACGTCTGTCTCTCGCCGTGGGCCTCCTCAGGGAGTCCCCTCGCTCTGGACCCCCAGGGCCTCCACCCCCTCTGCATGCAAACCCTTGGAAAACCAGGAAACCCCCCACTTGCTCACAGGCCTGCAGCAGCCAACGGCTCCGGGAGCCAGGGAAGGAATCGCCCCCCCCATCCCCGACCTCCCAGCCAAGCGTGACTCATGGCGCCGCTCCTGCCCTGACCCACATCCGCCAGCTGCAGCCTTGGCCCCACTCCTGGGGGGGGCCTCGCTCCCTGTCCCAGCCCTCAGCCCTCCCGTTCCCGGGGGCGCAGCTCAGACACTGCTCTGCCCAGAAGGGCCCGAGGCCTGTGGAGAGAGCGACCCCCCCATCCCCCCCCCGGCTTGGCCCGAGTGCCGGTCCAGGGAGCACAAAGGCTGAGTCGTCCCCTGGAGGGTCTGGGCCTAGAGGTGGCTGTGGGGCCTAGCAGGTGGGGCCTGGGCCGGAGGGGGAGATGGAGCGGGGGGGGGGGGGGAGGGGGGCTAAAGGGTTGGGGGTGGGGGGGGGGACAGAGGGGGGGTGTAAGGGGGGGGTGAGGGGGTGGATGTACGGACAGACGGATGGACGCACGGAAGGACAGACGGATGGACAGACGGACACGCGGATGGACGGACAGACGCACGGATGGATGGATGGATGGATGGATGGATGGACAGACAGACGGATGCACGGATGGACACGCAGATGGATGGACAGACGCACGGATGGATGGATGGATGGACAGACAGACGGATGCACGGATGGACACGCAGATGGATGGACAGACACACGGATGGACAGACGGACACGCGGATGGACGGACAGATGCACGGATGGATCTCTCTCCTCACGCCCACCCCCCTCGCCCCAGGCCGCGGCCTGGCTCTGGGTCTCCGGGGCGGGTGAGGGGGCACCGCGGGGAACGGGCCCTGGCACAGGGCTCCTCACAGGCTGCAGCCTGCACCCGGGAAGGGCCGCGCTGGGGGGGCCGTGGCTGCGGGGAGGCACCTGTGCGGCACTCGGCTGGGCGCTCCCGGCCCCGGGGCGGGGGCAGCGAACCAGCGGCTCCGCTGGGCCCAGGGGCGTGTGTGGGGTTCGGGACGCAGGTGAGGCAGAGCTGGGTTAGCCGGCAGCAGGATTAGGCACAGGCAGCGGCGGGTTAGTCGCTCTCTCTACCTGGCCCGGCCCCGCGGTGGGCGCGGTGTCCTGCTGCTCCGCCTGCTCCTTGTTCCTCTTCTTCTTGCCTTTGCCCCTGCGTTTGCCCTTCCTGCCCTTCCTCCGGGCGGGGGCAGCCGTGGGCTCCGGCCCGCTCTGCACGGGGCAGGACGGGGGCGACCGGAGAACGGGGGAGAGACAGAGAGGGGCATGAGAGAGCCGCAGGCTGGCGTGGGCAACCCCCGCGCTGGCACTGGGGGGCGAGAGCCCGGGCGTCTGGGGGCTCCCAGGCTCTGGCACCGTCCGGCTACACCCAAAGTGCTCTCGAGGGCCGGCTGTGGGGCCTGAGCGGGCCGGGCCCAGCGGGGAGCGCTGGGGGCAGGGGGCTCCCACGCCAAGCCGGGCAAGGGGCAGCAGAAGACTCATCTCACAGCGGCGTGAGCTGCGTGGGGCGGGGGACACACTGGGCGGCTCTGTCAGGGGGGGGTCGGCTCCCCCAGGGGCGCGTTCCCAGGCCCCATCCGTGACTCATCCCGAGCCCGGATGGAGACGCCCCCAGGCGCTGATGCAGGCTCCGGACGTGCCAAGCCCAGCTGGGCATATCCTGGCAGCCGTGGGCGCACCTGGCCTCCTGGAGCTGGGCCCAGCCCACGGGGGTGGGGGGGCACCTACCTCCTCGGGGTACAGGCCCAGCAGGCCGTAGGGCAGCGGCACGTCGCACCCGGGCATGTAGGTCTCGCAGTAGTGCAGGGCTGCCCGGGGGTCCGGAGAGATCAGCAGCTGCTGGACATCGCCCTGGGGGGGGGGAGACGAAATGGGCTGAGCAGGGGCTGAGGCACTGCGGGGTGAGCCCGCGGGGGGGGCAATGTCCGAGCCCTCCCCTCCCCCCCCCCGCAGCCCTCCTGGGCCCGGGCCAGTCCTGCGGCCGCAGCTGTGAGGAGCTGGCTGGGACCCGCGGGCAGGTGTTTCCGAGCTTGCAGCGTGACGGGGCTGGCGTGGGGCCCGGGCACTGCTGGAGCCCGCATCCCCCAGGGCCTCGCTGTCGGCTCGTTAGCGCTTCGTTGTGGGGAGCAGGCGGGGTGGGGGGCTGAGGACAGGGGAAGAGGGGTCGCAACGCCAGGGGGATGGGCACGGCCTGCCGAGCGGAGATCTGTGAGAACTGCAGGGGCGCGTGTAACCACCGCCGACCCCCCCCCCTCACGCCCCCACATACCCAGACACCCCCAGAGCCAAATGGGACCCACGCTCGCCCCCTCCCCCTGGCCACAGGCCCCACACCCCAGGGAGAGACACCCCTCAAACACAGACCCCCAACCCCGCCCAGCTTCCACCGCTCAGCTCCCCATGGAGCCGCCGGTCGCCGGGTGGGGCTCGGACGCAGCCCTGGGGCAGCACACATTCCTGGTGGGGGCGTGGGAACTGGGACCAGATGGGCGGACGGGGGGCGCCCTGGGAACATTCTTCCCAGCACGGCCGCCCCCACGTTCCCAGGGAGATCGGCTTCACCAGCCAGGCACAGCCAGTGAGCGCCGGCCAGCACGGGGCATCTGGGACTAGCCAGAGGGGGACCCCCAGGGTCAGCCCAGGTCACCCTGCTCCCCAGCCCCTCTGTCCAGCTGGAGCTGCCAGAAAAGAGGGGCCCCACCCAGGGCCAGCCCCTTGGGGGCCGTGCTGGGGACCCTGCGGGGGGGCAGGGCTGCGGGTGGCCCCGGGCTCTGGGGCAGAGCCCAGGAAGGCAGCTGTGAGCTGCGGCCTGGCCCAGCCCCTCTCCAGCCCTGCCCTGGGGAGCCCCCAGGGGCCCGGCTCCAGGACAAGCGCGGCCTTGTTCCCAGCCGCCCCCAGCCCGGCTCCCCGGCATCAATGGGGCCCTTCTCCGCGGCCCCTGACATTTGCCACTGGCAGCCGCAGCCGGCAGGAATGTGGAGGGCGGCAGGGCCTGGGGGCAGCTCTCGGCCCTGCTGCCGCGGCTCCCGGCTCCTCGGGGTGCTGAGGGGAGCAGGCTACACAGCCCCCACCCAGCCCCAAGGCCCTGACCCCCGCATGGCCCCCTGCACTAGGGTGAATGGCAAACTGGGCCCTGCCCGCAGCTCCAGCCCCCCCGGGAGGGCAGACTGTGCAGACGCAGCCGGGGGGGTCCCTGAGCCCGGGCAGGGGCTCTCCACGCCAGGCAGCCCCCAGAGTGCCAGGAGCTGGCAGAGCAAGGGGGCGCCGGGCCCGGCCTGACCCACGTAGCCCCCCCGGCACCAGGACAAAGGGCCGGCACGCAGGGCAGGGGCTCCCCACAGCCCCCCACAGCCTGCCCCCGACCTGGCTGGGAGCTGCCAGGCTGCGCAGAGCGCTCAGCCCCCCCCGGAGCCGTTCACAACCCCCCACCCCCCGGCGCGGCCCCACCTGGAACACCTCCTCGTCCAGCAGCCGGGTTCCCAGCAGGGTGACGCCTGCGGTGCTGACGACGGGCCGGGGCCCACGCTCCAGAGGCAGCGTCACGGGCGCCTCGCAATCCACCAGCAGCGACACGTTGGTGCCCTCCACGCTCAGCGCCACGCGGTGCCACCTGCGGGGGGCATCAGCGTCACAGGGACAGGCTGGGAGCCCGGACGCCTGGGTTCTCTCCCCGGCTCTGGGAGGGGAGTGGGGGCTGGGAGCCCGGACGCCTGGGTTCTCTCCCCGGCTCTGGGAGGGGAGTGGGGGCTGGGAGCCCGGACGCCTGGGTTTTCTCCCCGGCTCTGGAAGGGGAGTGGGGGCTGGGAGCCCGGACGCCTGGGTTCTCTCCCCGGCTCTGGGAGGGGAGTGGGGGCTGGGAGCCCGGACGCCTGGGTTCTCTCCCCGGCTCTGGGAGGGGAGTGGGGGCTGGTGGGTTAAAGCAGGGGGGTTGGGAGCCCGGACACCTGGGTTCTCTCCCCAGCTCTACCCTGAGTCACTCAGAGCCCATTTGGCTGATCGCCCCCGGCTGGCAGCAGGGACAGCGGGCATCCCTCCCAGCCGCGCCCGTCTCTCCAGCTCGCCCGGCCCTGTCCCCACGCCCTGCCCAGCCCCGGTCCCGGCACTCACTTGCCATCGGCCAGGCTGACCCTGCTGAAGAGCGGGTATCTCTCCGGCGCCGGCTGCCCGGCCTGGTCCTCGTAAAGGAAGACGGGCGAGCGGCCGATCTCCACGCCCAGCTGCTGCACCCCGCGCTCGTCGTACAGCGACAGCAGGAAGGCCTGGCTGCCCCGCCGGGCCCGCAGCGTCGCCAGGATGGAGAAATCCTCGGGGAAGG